AGGAAGGTAAGAGGGATACTGAACTTCAGGTCCTGAAATTTTAAGAGATATAGAGAGAGATATGTAGAAAGAGGAAGGTAAGAGGGATGGCCACTTTAAATGTTGCAAGAAAAATAAGTGCGACTACTGAGAAATGAATCGAATTGCTCCACCAAATTAAGCAAATTATTCCACTACCGAATACATTCGTGGTCTTCAGTTTCTGGAGATTATTTGTGAGAATTTTCATTTGATAAAATATTTGTTGATGTGGTTCTTGTGAACAAAAATTGTCTATTGATTCTTGAGATAGTTCGAGGCCGAGGTTTCAAGATATTGCTTTATATGGTTTTCCACAATTTACCCTCTCGTCTTTTAGAGCACATACTTTCTTGTGCAGGTGGGTGTTCAAGTAGATAGTAGTTTTTCACGTCATTAAAAGAAGAGTATTTAAAAAATCATGATTATTGATGGATTTTTAAGGCTGTGAATTCTCAATTTCTTTGGATTTTGGGGTTTTTGTATTGAAAATTAAGATTGTTGAAAAATAATAGCAAATAATAGTGTTACCATAATTTATATTTGGGTAGAGTAACGACGTTTGGATGGTTTTAAACGGTCGAGGCAAGAGTTCGACTCTTTCTCCTTAAAACGATAATGTCCCGTACTGGTACTAACGGTATTGTAGCACTCGTTTCCCAAGATACAATAACCTCGTCTTGTAATAGTAGTACTCCAAATTACAAGACCCGACGAACCCGTAAAGTTTAGATCTCTCCACACACAATGGATGTGTGAAATGCACGAAAAGTAATTTTCGAGGACTGAATTATAAAAATAGAAATTATGCAAGGACAAAGGGATAATTTCGGGAGAGTAGAAAATCAATTCTGATTTATAGAATGAATAAAAATCGGGGTATGGGGGCCTATTTATAGATGTTGAAAGGTTGTGTCTCAACAGACACAACTGCCGAAAAGTTGTGTCCAAAAAACACAAACTGTTTGGACAGTCAACCGCCATTTGGACAGTCAACCGTCACTTGGACAGTCAACCGCCACAACCTGCTAAATTCTAGAAGCACCGTACCACGTGTCACACACAGAAAATTTGGGGAAGAAAAAAAAAACATAAAATATATTATTATTATTATAATAAAATAATATAATTAAATGTTATTTTACCAAAAAATATATATCAGTTTGGCCCAAGCCCACGACCGGTGACTGTGCCGTGCCGAGCTGAGCCGGTCGGTCGGACGGATGGCGACGGCGGCTCGTGCGTGTGGGCTTTGGCTTAACCTACTAGCATGTAAGTTCTCTCCCCCTCAAAGACTATTGGTACCCCTTGGGGCCCAAACCCAAATCCCAAACTTGAGCTATATAAGGTGGTTTATATTCTTCTAGTTTTCCTATGTGGGATTGGGATTTTTCAATTTTCCACCTATTTTATTTCAATATCAAGTGGGCATCTTTTGGCCTTAATTTCTCATTCACCCTAAATTGGTTTTGAGAAAATAAATATACCATATTAATCTACTCATGGAGTAGAACACATTCAGCCAAAGAAATATTGTTTCCGATTAACGGGACCCACTAAATTAATTGGTCAAACCAACTAATTAAAACCAATTTTTTCAACAATCCCCCACATGAATGGAAATTAATGCAATAGACTATGCAAACCCTATAGAGAGATCAGGCGGAATGTTATCGTATCTGGGTAGGTGCCTATGGGTTTGACCCTTCCGTAGTAGAATACTATCGAATTTACTTGGCTAATCAGTGAACGCGGTGTCTTGAACTGTTAGCCGTTTTTGTAAATCAAGACAATAGTATCAACACAATAACCTTCCTAACGTTTTAGAGTTCTCACTATTGTGTTCATTTTGGCCCTTAACAACTCTTGGATTTCAGAAGTGTTTTAGAGAATTCTAGTCTTTGAAACATTCTCATAGAAGCGGCCACACTTCACACTTGTATAGGTGATCTCCTATTAAGAGTACCTGCCGTACTCCATTTAGGTAGTCTAAGATATAGGAATCATTAAAAGTATAACTTAACCTAAAACTTTCTGCAGATAGCATTTCCTTATCATAGGAATGGGTAGGAGTTAACTCCAAAGTGCTTATTGAATCTTCATAACTTAGTTGTCCCATTGAACCAAGATTTTGGGATCTCCAGTCAGCAAGGTTGGATTACCATTACAAAGATTCTTATGTAGTAGGCTTTAAGCCCATTCCCCTTGATAGGAAGTATACTTGATCTCTTGGTAAGCCTTTGGTAAGCGGATCTGTCAGATTTTCTCTAGATTTTACATAATCTATGGAAATAATACCATTTGAGATCAACTGCTTAACTTTATTATGTCTTCGACGTATATGTCGAGACTTACCATTATACATACTACTTTGTGCTCTACCGATAGCCGACTGACTATCACAATGTATACTAATTGCAGGCACAGGCTTAGGCCAACATGGAAGATCCTCTAAAAAATTTCGAAGTCATTCTGCTTCCTCTCCAACTTTATCTAAAGCTATGAATTCAGATTTCATTGTGGATCGAGCTATACATGTTTGTTTAGAGGATTTCCAAGATACAGCCGCACCACCAATGGTAAAAACATACCCAATAGTGGATTTTGAGTCTTTTGTATCTGATATCCAATTAGCATCACTGTATCCTTCTAATACAGCTGGATATCTCGTATAATGTAATCCAACATTTGAAATATATCGTAGATATCTTAGAACCCTTACCATTGCTTTCCAATGGTCATTATTTGGGTTACTTGTATATCTACTAAATTTGTTTACTGCATATGCAATATCCGGACGAGTGCAGTTTGTAATATACATTAGACTGCCTATTATCCAAGAGTATTCTAATTGAGATACGGGTTCGCCTTTATGTTTGGCCAAATGTAGACTTAAATCTACTGGCGTTTTAACTGGACTTTCATCATACATATTAAACTTTTTAAGTACAGTCTCAATATAGTGAGATTGAGACATTACAAATCCCTCAGATGTTTTAAGAATTTTAATTCCTACTATTACATCTGCAATACCCATATCTTTCATGTCAAAATGTTTTGTCAACATTTTCTTGGTATTTGTTATCATATCATAACTACTACCCACAATTAGCATGTCATCAACGTATAGACATACAATTACATATGCATTAGGTGTAGTTTTAATATAGACACATTTATCACATTCGTTAATTTAAAATCATTTGACAACATAGTTTTGTCAAATTTTGCATGCCATTGTTTTGGCGCTTGTTTTAGTCCATATAATGACTTGATGGGTCTACACACCTTTTTTTCCTGTCCAGGAGCGATGAACCCTTCGAGTTGTTCCATGTAAATTTTTCTTCTAGCTCACCATTTAAGAAAGTTGTTTTGACGTCCATCTGATGGATTTCCAAATTATGCAATGCTGCGATCGCAATTAATACTCTAATTGATGTTATTCTTATCACAGGTGAGTATGTATCGAAAAAATCAAGGCCTTCCCTTTGTTTGAATCCTTTAGCTACCAATCTGACCTTGTATTTATCAACTGATCCATCAGTCTTTAATTTTCTTTTGAAAATCCATTTACAACCTAATGGTTTATTATCAGGTGGGAGATTTACCAATTCCCAGGTATGATTCTGCATAATAGAATCAATTTCACTATTGATAGCCTCTTTCCAGAATGGAGTTTCTGGACTAGAAATTACTTCATTGAATGTCCTAGGCTCATTTTCTAACATATAAGTTAAAAAATTTGGACCAAAAGATGTAGATGTTTTGGTTCTTTTGCTGCGTCTTGGTTCTTCATCACTTTGAGGATTACTAATCCCAAAATCATAAGTTCATTTTTGCGGGCTTATTTCTTTCCTATCTTTACAAGGAAACTTGTCCTCAAAAAATACGGCATTCCTAGATTTAATGATAGTATTTTCATGTATATCCGAAATGTCAGACTTATGTACAAGGAACCGATAAGCACTACTGTTATTAGCATATCCAATGAATATGCAATCGACAGTTTTAGGCCCTATTTTAATTTGTTTAGGCTTTTGTATTTGTACCTTAGCCAAACACCCCCACACTTTTAAGTATTTGTACGAAGGTTTATGACATTTCCATACCTGATAAGGAGTTTCGTTCCTACCTTTGTGTGGGACTTTATTTAGAATGTGGTTAGCTGAGAGAATTGCTTTCCCCCACAAATTCTGTGGTAAACCAGAACTAACCAACATAGCGTTCATCATCTCTTTTAGAGTGCGATTTTTGCATTCCGCAATACCGTTTGATTGAGGTGAATAAGGAGCTGTAGTTTGATGAATAATCCCAGAATCTAAACAAAATTCATCAAACAGTGCTCCATATTCCCCACCTCTATCAGTACGAACAATTTTTATTCGTTTGCTTAGTTGATTCTCAACCTCATTCTTGTACTGTTTAAATGCTTCTAAAGCCTCCTCTTTACTCCTTAACAAAAAGACATAACAATACCTTGTGCAATTATCTATAAAAGTAATAAAATACTTTTTACCTCCTCTAGTTTGCACAAACTTTAAATCACAAATATCACTGTGAATTAATTCTAGAGGATTCGAGTTCCTTTCAACTGAATGAAACGGTGTTTTTGCTAATTTAGCCTCTACACATGTTTCGCATCGATGATTTTGATCAAAGGACATTGAAGGTAATAAATCTGAACTTACTAATCTTCGTAATGTATTAACATTTACATGTCCTAACTTATCATGCCATAAGTTAGAAGACTCAATCAAGTAAGTAGAAGATTTATTTTTATTAATATCAAAATCACGGAATACAGGCATTACATTCAATTTGAATAGCCCATTCGCTAAGTACCCTTTGCCTACAAACATTCCATTTTTGAGTACAAACTTGTCAGATTCAAATACCAGCCTAAACCCATTCTTGCTTAAAAGAGCTCCGGATAGCAAGTTTTTGCGAATATCAGGAACATGCAGCACATCAATGAGTGTTACTTATTTCCATGATGTCATCTTCAGCACTAATTTACCTAGACTAATAACTTTTGATGTTGCTGAGTTGCCCATGAAGAGTTGTCGTCCATTGATAGGATTGTAAGATGAAAACATCTCTTTATCCGCACAAACGTGACGAGTAGCGCCAGTATCAACGAACCATTCTCTTGGATTATCCACCATGTTTGCTTCAAATACAACAGCCGAGAGCATTAGTTCAGACACTTTGTTAGACAACCTGTCTTCTTCAGTCAAGTGTACTTGGTCCTTTTTGTTTTGCTTTTTCTCCCGGCAGTCCTTTGCAATATGAGCAGGCTTACCGCAGTTATAGCAATCTCCTTTGAATTTCTTGGCCTTGCTCTTTTGCTTGCTATTATTCGGGTGCTTCCTTTTCTTAATAGTATTTGGCTCCACCAAGTTGACTTTAACCTCCATTTGCTGTTTTCCAAACTTCTTTTCAGCATTTCGATTTTCCTCAATTCCTAATCTAACAATCAAATTTTCAAGTCCCATTTCCTTGCGTTTACGTTTCAGGTAGTTCTTGAAATCTTTCCACATTGGTGGTAATTTTTCGATAATTGCAACTACCTGAAATGTTTCACAGAGCTTCATGCCTTCTGCATGTATATTGTGCAAGATAAGTTTTATCTCTTGGACTTGAGTCATTACTGTTTTAGAATCTACCATTTTGAAGTCAAGGAATTTGCCTACAACGAATTTCTTCAATCCGGCATCTTCTGTTTTGTACTTCTTTTCCAATGACTCCTATAATAATTTAGCCGTTTTGACGGAACAGTATACGTTGTATAGTGTGTTGTCAAGGCAATTGAGGATGTAATTTCTGCACAAGAAGTCACTATGACTCCAAGCATCAAATGCTGCTCGTTTTTGAGAATCTGTTTCCTTCTCCTCAACAGTTGGAGCATCCTCTTTCAAGATTTTGACCAAATTCAGAGTCGTGAGATAGAACAACATTTTCTGTTGCCATCTCTTAAAATCTACTCCCGTGAATTTTTTTGGTTTCTCTCCGTGAGCATTGTTAGGGGGTACGACAGACATATTAGGGAGTACAACAGACGTACTACTACTTGCCATTAACGTTTTAAGATTGTTGAAAATTAAGATTGTTGAAAAATTATTAGTGTTACTGTAATTTATATTTGGGCAGAGTAACGACGTTTGGATGGTTTTAAACGGTCGAGGCAAGAGTTCGACTATTTCTCCTTAAAACGATAATGCCCCGCATTGGTACTAACGGTATTGCAGCACTCGTTTTCCAAGATACAACGATCTCATCTTGTAATAGTAGTACTCCAAATTATATTACCCGATGAACCCATAAAGTTTAGATCTCTCCACACACACTGGATGAGTGAAATGCACGAAAAGTAATTTTCGAGAACTGAATTATAAAAACAGAAATTATGCAGGGACAAAGGGATAATTTCGGGAGAGTAGAAAATCAATTCTGATTTTTGGAATGAATAAAAATCGGGGTATGGGGATCTATTTATAGATGTTGAAAGGTTGTGTCCAAAAGACACAAACCGCCACTTTGGACAGTCAACCGTCACTTGGACAGTCAACGGCCACAACCTGCTAAATTCTAGAAGCACCGTACCACGTGTCACACACAGAAAATTTGGGGAAGAAAAAAATAACATAAAATATATTATTATTATTATAATAATAAAATAATATAATTAAATGTTATTTTACCAAAAAATATATATCAGCTTGGCCCAAACCCACGACCCGTGACCGTGCCGAGCCGAGTCCGCCGGTCGGACGGACGGCAGCGCGCGCGTGTGGGTTTTGGCTTAACCTACTAGCATGTAAGTTCTCTCCCCCTCAAAGACTATTGGTACCCCTTGGGGCCCAAACCCAAATCCCAAACTTGAGCTATATAAGGTGGTTTATATTCTTCTAGTTTTCCTATGTGGGATTGGGATTTTTCAATTTTCCACCTATTTTATTTCAATATCAAGTGGGCATCTTTTGACCTTAATTTCTCATTCACCCTAAATTGGTTTTGAGAAAATAAATATACCATATTAATCTACTCATGGAGTAGAACACATTAACAATTCCTAAATCCAAATTTTTTGCCCAATAATTTGTTTCATTTCTAATTTTTTTAATTTTTGACCCAATTACCTATTTTATTGTCTCATTTCTTAGTCCAACAAGATCCAACCCACTAAATAACCCTAAACACCAACATTAAAGTGCATAACGTTGTCTCGACTCTCGCAGTCTCGCTGACATTCCAAAACTTATATAATTGTCGACCGACGCTGTGACCTCCGCCAACCGAAATTTT